AGTGTTTATTACTAAGACGTAAAATTCAGCAAGAATTTAACAAATGTGGTCGATTATTCATTAAAATTTTCGGCCAGTTTTATTCATTTTTGATTAAACAAGTGAGATTTATCATATAAAAAAATCCTGATAATGTTCTGACTAGATCATCTACTTTCCTCTTTCCATCTATATAACTTGATAATCACAAAGTTCATCTATATTAATTATAGTCACTTGAGTATGTTTTAATACTTCAGTAGTATAAATCTCTTCGATAATTACGTATGTTGTACTGTGACGTTATATATGATAGATTAGCTTCGAACGCAACTTGAACTTTCCTTTATCTGGAATATTACTCATCCATAATCAATCGCCTCAAGTTGTTCATGATTGAATTTCGTGATTACATGAATTCAGCAAATATTACATATACTAAGCTCCGGTCAAATACAAAATTCAGACTATCACTTGAAGTTTTCCTATCATGCTGAAATATTATGCAATTAATTAGTTTTACGTTGGTCACTAAAGATGAGGTATAGAATTGTTTAGAAACTTGAGATAACGGGTAGCAACCTTATTGTACATCTGTTTGTTTGATGACTTAACAGAACTCTTAAAGAATGCACATTTTGCTTGTTTTCCTGTTGATTAGAATAGTTTTTGAATTCGTGCTTTTTTCGAATTGTGCAACGTTTCTTTCGGTTGAATCTCCTCGCTAATTTCACTGTTTGTACAAAATATTTCATATCCTAAGTCTATGTAATAAACTGTTGGGTTCAAACTGTCTGAATAAAAGTGGATCAGCAGTATCTGAGGTATCGGGCTTGTAAAGATATCTCCGAGTCATTTCTTTGGAGCCAGATCATCCCGATATATTATCAAACAATATCAATTACAGTTATTAGTCAAAAAGTATTCATTATTTCGGAAATCAAATCTTCACAGAACAAATGATAATACGAGATGTTTGGATTAGAAGCACATAATTAAGACAGAAACTATATATGATCATGTCAATATTGTAATAAAACTATCCGTTGAAGGTTTTTCATTCAAATTATTACATGAAGGATAGATGCTGGTAGTTTATATTTAGACTTAACTCTGATAAACTATTTATAAATAGAATCTACTTAGGAAAGTATGTAATACTTCTCAGATTTATTTTAATTTCTAAAATCTATAGAATGAATGATTTATATGACATGGGTTTTGACCTTACCATTGTTATTAAATCAAAAACACTTAGATTGATAAATTGGCATTAAGTACAAATTAAAATTAATAAGCATTGGTGATAAGTCACTGTATCGACGTGGTATTGGACACGATTCAGATATGTCCAGACGTCAGTCCCATTTTCGGGGAAATGGTGGATGAATAACAAAAATATCAATAGTAAACAAACAATTGGAGTATAAAAAGTAGGACACAAAATAATTAGAAAATTTATGTAAGTAGAGAGCGAAATTGAACCACGGTGTTCCCTTTATCATATTAAGGTAAACAGCTAAGGATACGGACAACGTAATAATCCTTTCCTTATATTTCTATGCATTAATAAATTTCTGACAAATAGTAAAACAACCTAGTTTTACTGAAAACATAAATAACCTTGACGAATGAATTAAGTAGATGGGGTCGGACGTGTGAACTCCAGGAAAAATATTGGCGGTATTTAGTGTTGTGTAAGGCTACCTTGTCAAGCCAAAATGTCCAGGTGACTCTACCGAACAATGCTTTATGTTACAACACGTATTCTTGCCTCAATTCAAACTTACTACAGACGCTTTCATTTTCAATTAATCGGCACAACGCTGAGTATTTCAGTACTGAAGTGTGAAATACCGTTTATTTCTCATACATGCACTGTAATGAATATGGAATTGAGGCAACACAAGAAATCTTTTGATTGATATCTAAAACGACTCAAATTTCATTTGACTAGAATGACTATTCAAAATCTATCGACTACATTCTACGTAGTTAGCAGCACAAAATAATTCAATATTTTGTCGAAACTTTGACCAGTAGGGGTAACTGGAGAAAAAGCCTCTTACGTAGTTCATGTAGATGCTTCGACGTTTCACCATAACAGTCAGTCAGTTATAACGTAGGACCAGGCACATATGTGCATCGGTCCAGGTTGTCATACCTCATTAGCACAGCAAGATGAACAGCGGATTCATAGGAGTGGTTAGGTCAAAGGTTGCAATAAGTATATAGTATAGGAAGAAAGAATTAGTTCGTAGAAAGAAAGATATGAAGTGATTTTAATCTCTTAGTTTAAGGGAAGACAGGGAGTGTATACACCGACGCCATTGTGATCGATTCTGAGCCATGTCACCAAGAGTCTCCAACCATTGGTTACGATAGTCACGCGGACCCCAACCAAGTAGTCTGCATCTACCAACATGGCTCAGACTAGAAGTTAGTGACTTCAGGCACTGATGCCACGTTTTGGTTTGGCTGCCCCTAACTTTCTTCCAACCATCCCCTACACCGGTTAGCATTGCACGTCGTGGTAATCGGTGTTCAGGCATACGTAATACGTGGCCCTATAGTCGCCGCCTTTTCCATCTCTTTTGCTTTCGTTACCCACCACTGCTCACGGTCGTTCCTTAGACTTTTTCTTAACCTAGATTTGATTTGTTTTCGCTCTTCATCATGTTCAGAACCTGATAGGACGAGTTTGCGAGAATCCATCAGTGTGACAGACCTTGAAGAAATCCACTGGTTCCTTGCAACTCTGTGGTTTAGGTCACTAATAGATGTCACTGCTGTTTCCACAGCTGATTGTATGCCCTTCCAAGCAACATCTGGGTCAGCCTCGTCTTCACAACTACCTAAGTGTGACCTCAGTTGTTCATGGAACCTACTTTTGGTTTTCTCGTTACTCAACTCAGTTCTAACGGGTCTTTTTAATGTGGCTTTTTTGCGTCCAGTGAGGCGCAAGCAGACGCGTGCCCGTATTAGGGCATGGTCGGAGTCCAAGCAGGTACTCCAGAATGAGCGACAATTTTCTACCGACCCTCTCCAACGATGACTGATGGCAATATGGTCTATTTGAGTCCACCGTTGGTTTGGTGTAGGGGGTCGCCATGTTAGACGATGTCTCTCCTTATGCTTAAAATTTGTTTGCTAAAAATAAACGATTGTCTGAGCATAGCTGCAGCAGACGATCACCATTATCTGTTTGTTGTGTCGGAATACTAAAATATCCACCTAAATGCCTTTCTGTTTGCTTTAAGCTACCTATCTGAGCATTAAAATCACCTGCTACGAGTACTATGTCTGAGCGTTTAGCTTTCTGAAGAAGTTCGGACAGCTTTCTGTAAAATTCATCTTTCGCTTCATCTGAGCTGCAGTCAGTGGGAGCGTAGGCAGAAACGACAAAAAGGCAACGACGTGTGTCCCTATCCTTCCGAGTTCTTACGTAGCCGTTCAGCCGAACAGCCCATAGACGACTGTTGACGGGGATCCACTCTAGCAGTGCTTGTTCGTCCCTCATGCTTAGTGCTATGCCTACACCTGCCAGTCCACGAGAACTTGCCATCGGGTCACCAGATACACGAAGGGTGTATCTCGTTGACTCTCCGTTTTGCCGAGGTGAGGTCAAGTGAATAACCACACTGGAATCCTGTATGCGTCTTTCGGAGACACAGCACACGTCAATGGTAAGAGACTCTAGGGTTTTAGCCAAGGAAGCCTGCTGACCGATTTGACATAGGGTTCGTACGTTGAAGGCTCCAATGTGTAGTTTGGAGCGAGGTTTCAGTAGACCTGGGACAGTGTTTTGCGCACAAGAATCGTTGGCTATGGTGACACTTGAGGTGGAAGCCGAGAGAGGAAATTTAAAGTTGAAAGTCGATGTAGGAGGAATAATAGGAATTGAAGAGGGAGGTTGATTATGAATACAGTGGTCTTGAGTGCTGTTAGAGGTATGAGGGCGTTTATCACTTCCCGGTTGCCCACACCGTGGAAGGGTTGTTCTGGAGGTACCTGAAAAGGAAATTGGATTAAAGGTGGTCTTAGTGACCTGAGAGCGTGACCGCAGTGCCCAAGGGACAACTGCTTGAGGTCGGTCACACACGACCTTGTTATGGGTAATTTTTGTGTTAGCTCCGTACTTATTGAGACATTACCGCCGGAGACGGATACCCGTGGGATAAGGCGAGGCGTGCATTTTTAGGGTCGACCTTTTCTAACCCCACCCCTCCTTGTGGGAAGGCAGCATCGCTGTCATGCTGGTTGTCTGAAGGAAACACCTTAGTGCTGTCACACCTCTGTACAGTCAGCAGTACGACTTCGCCTTCGGACCTTGGGTTTGTTGCTTTTAGTCTTACCGCTCTTCAACCGACCTGTCTGACATGGTAGGACCTTGAGGAACGGTTGTTCCAGCCAGTATAGCTCGGTTGCTTCATCACGATAGGCAAGCCCGACCACCACGTCAAGGTAGCAACAACGGTCGGGTTTCACCATAACAGTTAGAAATTACAATTTTCATTTGAGACAAGTGATCGAATTTCAGATAACATGTGCTACGGGTCTTAAAATGGAGTGTACGAAAACTTCCTTACCAACCTCAAACATGCAGAAACAACTTACATAGAGCTGGAGCATACAGTTATATTACTTTGAGCTAAAAAATAATTTTAAGGAAGACTTATAAATCTTTCAAAAACGCCAAAGGAATGAAAGCTTCCTAACTAAAATATTATCGGTTTTGACTAAGCTCCCCTTTGATGAATTATACGCTCTTATAATCATAAATGGTGCGAAAACAACAGTAGGACAACGTGCTTCTGTTTATTATTAGCAGGAAACAATTGGACGAAGTTAAATATTATGTACACGGAGAGAAATATGTTAAATAAGATCTGTCTTCAGATAAAAAAAAGTAAGGAACTGTATATGCAAGTCCGAATAAACTTTTTCAGATAGAACTAACAATTCCATTGATAACTCTCGCATTCAATACGATTAAATAAGTAAAGATCAACTGTATTTTTGAGTAGGTCTTCTGACTTCAATTTTATTCGGATAAATATTTTTCTTGAATACAATATTGCAGAGGAAGAAACAACAAACATACATTACAACATATGGGAAATTGGTAGAAATCCTGAAAAAGAAAACCAACTATTTATTTATTGATAACAATAGAAAAACGTCTCATATATGACGTATTTTCACATGAATAATAAGATATGCACAATATGTATGTTCATGTATATGGGCTTATTTTTACATAAGATAAACGCATAGAATAATAAATGCTTGAAAATTACAACCGTCGATGGATGATAGATATCACTAACAAAAAAAAACGAAATGTTCAAATTTATACTGAAATAAAAACAACCAGAAAAGAAACAATGACAAAATTGAACAGAGCATGTCTCATTTGTCCCCTTCTTCCTTTTTTATGCAATAAGTGTATAAATTGATTAAATATAATTAACATAATCTAATTTTGACATAATACATACAGCTGGCTGATTAGTTAATTAATCAATGTATATCTTTTCTCTATTGATGCAACTAAAACTAAAAACAATAAGTACAGATAAAGAAAATCGCACTTTCTACTTTCTGGGCAATCGTTTTTCTAATACATTAACATAACCAATATGTATACGATGTAAGAAATCATCATCTGTCTGGAAAAGAAAACAGCAATAAGAAAAGTTGGTGGTTAGTAGCAAAACAAACACAGAGAAAGTCTTAAATGTCTTACACTTCAGTGGATACAATGAGCAATCATATCTATAATGACTATATGGTTTAATATTGAAATAAAGGATTTTCAAGAGGCAGTGAAGTGAAAATCGGTTACAAGACACGAAAAGAACGTCTAGAACCAATATAAGGATACTTTTCACGAATGTTTCTGAACGATCAAGTCTTATAGTGAATTATTTCGTACATTTGGTAAGAACAATCCAAGTGAATTAGCTGGTTCTCTCTGATCTAATCAGAGATCACAAATATTCCTAGATGACGATGAAACGGGGAGCAACATTCTTCACAAGACTGAAGAGCTTGTTGGTGATTTCAACCTTCTACTACCTGACAAGTGAAATTAACCGAATCTAACCGAATAGAAGAAATATAAAGGATAGTAGTTGTAACACTACAGTTGAACCAGAAAAGTCTAACAATTAGTGAGCTAATGCGAGCATTAACAGTGATAACTGACAACTGGTATGGGAAAATGAGATAACTATTTTAATTGTAGCACAAAAAAAGCATTGCAAACTAGCTTGAAATGAACGAACTAATTAAGGTCACAAACCAACAATCAATGAGACCTGTAAGCACTGGACGGCAGTGTGGGACTTCACAATATTGTATAGCGGACCCCAAAGACAAGGGTCAAACCCAGGACATCGGTCTCGCGTACGGAAGTTTAGCCTCTAAACCATCGAGTTGGGATTCTATGATGGATCAATTTAGCTTCAATCAACCTACCATTGGATAACTACTCAGTGGTCTAGAGGTTAAACTTCAGCGCGTGAGAGTGAAGGTCCTGGGCTCGAGCCCTGGCCTAGGGGTTGTGAACGCGCAGTCCTGCGTAGTCCCATACTAGAACGAAACAACCGTCTAGTAATTCCAGGCTTTCAATAGTTGTCAAACTTAGATTGGTTCGTAATTTCAATAAAATTTAACAAATTCCACAATACCTGAACGACTTATATTTGAAGGAAATCCGGGTATTTCTTAATTATTTGATATAAAAAATACAATGAAACCTACTTGTAACAAATGAATTAATGTTTCTCTTAGTTGATCTTTCGTAAGATATTCATTCATCGCGGATTTTTCTGTTGTCGAGATGGGGGCTTTATTTTCTGAAAAAGGGCTCGATACAGTATGTTTACCATAATTAAATTCGGACATTAATCCGGGGAAAATCGATGATGGGATGCTGGTTAACATGTCAGGTGTAACGAGTGTGTCTTCTCCTATAATCGTTTTACACTTAGGAGTGATATTCGAGAGTTTGTTTCGATTAACCAACCGATTAGATGGTGAATGTATTTCATCTGAAAAATTTTCTTGTTGCTGACGGATATGCCGTCGTTGTTTACGTTGGCCAACTCCATAGCTTTTGGGTAAACCACGACCACAAGGGTCTTCGCATGCTTCCTCATCATCAACATCATCCACATAACCAGCATCATCACTAAGAAGGCGGCGATTTCGATCAACACGAGTATCTTTATGTCCTTCAAGGTAGCATGCAGAAGACTCCATGACTGACACATGTGATAACACCTGGTCATCTGGAGAACTATCGTCTGTAGCGACAACTGTTTTTAAATCACCGGATATCTTTGAACGTGATGTTAGCCCATCAACGTTTTCAGGAAGCTAATGGAAGAAGGCAAGGATAAATAATTACTGTTATATGCATTTTTAATTTTGAGTATGAAAAGTTGAAATAACAACAGTATCACAACGTGTGATAACGAATAATATAGTGGACTTCAATCGCTTGTTATTCTATTGAATACGATAAAACAGAAATTTAGGAAGAATATACATTTGTTAGGTATGTAAAAAAGCGTATCTATATGCAGATTTTGACGCGATAGAATGCAGTGATAACACTGAATGGTCGATCATCGCTACCACCACATTTCGTATTCTTATGAACCGGTAGTAACATTACTGAGGAATAAAGTGGAAATCACGTACCTACAATAATTAAAAACCTACTTAACTGATAATTATGCTAAATAGCATTTTCAGGGACTGGTGACTTTATCCTCATACTGTGAGCTACTACAAAAATGACAAATTCTGGATGATTAGCAAAACTACTCCATTCATACACCCGCCAATAAAAGTAACTTTACAGTACTAGGCGACGTGGATATAAACTTAGAGAACAGAAATTTTTTCAGGGTGTTGTCTAGCTGGTAAGAAATCATATAAGATTATTATATAAGCCTAGAGTTTAAGTGAACCTCAACCTACCTACACATCACACGAAGCACAACCAGCTGTTATCTTAAATCAATTAGCTGAAGCCAATTTTTCGACTGAAATTCTAACCCGATAAGATTTCAACTAAGATTTCATGAGTGGCAAGAAATATCTCTAACTTACAGATATATGCTCCTGAAGTAATTGTTCTTCAAGTTCAGCAACAGAAATATGATTGACAATCTGAGATGACCCACAACTCAGTTTATTCTTCTTACTACTTCTAAAATAGGTAGAAATAAAAATCCGAAAACAAGTAAACGAAGAGGTTACAACCTTCAATGAAGCAACTATTTAAATATATGTAATACTTTTTACCAATGGGGCTCCCTATACATGAAGATAAGTATATCTACTGTTTACTAGAATTATGATCAATAAAATAAAACTAATGTAATGAATCATATAAATGTTGCCAGAAACTATAATTTATATTTTAATAAAATCCATGTTTTGAAAATTCAGTACTGTCCTAATAGTTCATTTCAATGAGTTCACCCCTATATATAATTTTTGATTGCTTCCATATTTGTTTTGACTGACTAAACATCCGAACCATGAACAAGGATAATAATGCTTCAAAATATACTAGAAACAAGTAATTAATTTGCAAATAGTCTCATTTGCTTGATAATAATCTATTAACACTGTGCTAACTTTAATGAACCATATTAATCATGGTGCTCTCTGGAAACCTGGATGGATATTAATTAACGATATAAATGAGTAGGTTAACTTAGATTGATACGATAGGTTAGTAAATAAGCTCACTCAGACCTTCTATCTACACATATCCATTTCTCTTAGACAAACTAGCATATGAATGATAGGCGATGATTAATTTCAAAAAGTAGACTAATAGACACAAGGTAAGTGTTCGACGTCAAACGCGAATCAGATCGATAAAAATGCCTTAATCAGACGCGTCATATAAGACTTGCGTAAGAATTAGCAGTAATAATAAGATTACTTAAATACAAATGAACTCCTAAAATGGGGAATGATTAAAACAGTGATCAACCATACAAAAAGCATTTTTGTAATATGTATTCAAATATCTAGTGGACACAGTACTGTAGACTTTATAATTTGTTCGAATTGAAAACAACTAGAGACGTAAATTTGTCCGTAAATTTTAAAATTAATCTTTAACATTGGAGAACGGTCATTTGAATCTTGTATTTACTATGAAAACCGTAAATTTCGTACCATATGTTACATGTGACAGCTTGTAACGAAAACTTTATTTTCCGGAAATGTAGCTTTGAAGGTTTTAAAATGTCAGGAATAACCTTTCGCACCCAATTCATATGACCGCTATCAACTATTTATTCAGTTTACTTTACTTAATTTCATCATTTTAAATCGTGACCAAGTTGTGATACATGAATTGAGCCTGCTATTCAAAACTAAGGAAAAAATTAGTGTTGTTATCAAAGCGAATGTTCGGCAACAAAAAACAAATGCTTATTTAAGATCTTTCCAGAATGACATTGAAAAACAACTCATGTAACCTATCTACAGAGTATAGATTCATGCACTCTGGGGTTTGAGTTACACTAGTAATACTACCTGGCTGCCCAAACCGAAGTGTATAGGCTGGAATTCTGACTAGTGACCTAGTGGTTGAGAGCTGATTAATGTAACCATTAGGCTATGGTTTAATATTCATTATTAATATATTCAATACCCATAGAACATCCTACATGTACGCTTTTAGAAATTACACAACATGAACAGAGTTAATGGTTAACACGCATAATTTAATATAGTAAAACATTTCATAAGTACATTAAATACTGATAAGCGAAAGTCATTAAACAATTAATCATTACCAGAATACTTGGGTGTACAGCACATAGATAAATATGCTACTTACGAAACTCCGCTAGCACCTGGTTTAGAATGATTGCCGAATGAATTATTTCCATTTGAAACTGGAAGATTGCAAGCTGTACGAAAACGTTGTAGTTCATTTTTGACGGTTATGTCTAAACAAGTAAACAAAAAGAAAAAAGAAAGTCACCACTAACTACATATACACCATTAACAAAATCAATGAATGAGACAAAAACGAGGTTTTATTACTTTTTTAAATGGAAAACGTTAATTTAAATAGATTTAATCTTACCTGATTGTGATACGCTTCGGTTACTCTGGAACAAACAAGCAAACACAAAAAATATAAGTTATTAACTGATAATCAATGTCTTTTGTTTGAATAGAGAAATAGTTAAACTTTGTTGATTATACACATTCTATGTGCAAGAAATTCTGGGTTTAACGTAGCGTGTAACAGAACCCTAACTTAGTGGTTACAATACCCGACTTCCGACCATTAAGTCATATGTTCGAACCACATTTTAGTCTACTCTGATTTAAGTAACTATATGATATTTTTGTCCTTAACACGAAGTCAGCTTCTACTTGGTCAATAAGTAACACTCATTTATTTTCAAGGAAACTATTGCTGTTCACTGGTCTACGAAAAGATCTCTCAAAAGATTTTTATGTTTGAAACCCACTACATATCAGTTTAGGGGTTGTTGAGATTGTTAAGATTTTGATTGAGATCATGAACCGATTGATATTAGACCACCAGTGAAAACCTGGTTGAGGTTAGACATTAACACCATGGGATGCCGGCTCAGTGGTCTAGTAGGTTAAGCGTTCACGCGTGAGACCGAAGACCCTGGGTTCGAATCCCGCGAGCGGGGTCATGGATGCACACTGCTGAGGAGTCCCATAATAGGACGAAACGGCCGTCCAGTGCTTCCAGATTTCCAATGGTGGTCTAACATTAATCGGCTCATGATCGCAATCAAAACCCCACTACATATGTTGGAGCCTCGGTAGCCATTTGATGTTTCAAGCCTTGACACAAAGAAAATATTGTTCATATTCTAGTAGCATGAGTTGAAAATATTAAACGAAATAATAAACAAAAATCACAATACTAACTCCTGAATTAAAATCGGCTTCTGCCTTGTGTAACATGTCAAATATACTTGGTCCTTCGGAATGATTAGATACATTGTCATTAACTTTGGATGGGTTTGAAGAGTTTGCCTTGGAATTTTCATTGGACGCACGAACGAAATCCATTAACTGATTTAATCCTTTAGTAACTGTTTCCGGAGATTTAGGAGCAGCCACTATAGAATTCATCACAGAATTGGAAGATTTAGATTTGGAATTTGTGGATTGGCTTGTAGGAGCTATCTTTAGTCCTAAGCCACCAACGTCGTGAACAAGTCTATCAAATGAAATACAGACGGAATACGATAAACATTATTGAGAGATTTTATGTAATCATACAGACGGAAACATTGTATACGTGGACTTAAAAGTATTGTGGCGGAAAAGTAGGTCAGTCAACTACAACCTAGCTCAAGATTATGAAACAAATATGATTAGAAGTTTAGTTTATTTGTAAACATACCACAACTATGAGCTAACTGTAGTTCATGTGGATTCTAGTTGAATAAAAAGTGAAATAATTTGAAAAATAAAACCCAGTGGATGAACACAAGAAGCAGAGCAACAATAATCCAGTTTAACCAACCTAAACGATCTGGAATGTCAATAAACAACTAAATTTGTGATTACCTCGTTGCGCTGTGATTACTTTAAGTACATACACTGAGAATTCCATGTCGTGCTAAACGTTTAGTAGTCAACACAGCGACTAGTATTTATAAGATCATAGCTAGGCTCATCTGATATCTTTCGATAGTGTGATAAGGAAACGAACATTATCAGAACTATGTGATATATTAGCGAAATACATTTCGAACAATCTGATCACACATACTTGTTAAGAACACTTATATATAAAAAACAAAAGGTCAACTAGACTAGAGATGGAGGGTAAGAGGAGACAAGAATAATAAAGAAAATAATGTGAAACACATAATTGAAATAGGTCATAAGATTAATCTTAATTCGGCTTTTGTGGTGTTGTACAAAAGTGTAATAGGGCGTATACTAAGGTTTATTGTAGCCTTAACCATACGAAAATTTAAACCCCCTTTGTCTATTCAAAAACAGTTTGTTCTCACCTTAAACCTACCCTGGTGATATTAGCTTAATATTCAGAGTGATGAGGTTTTAAATTATCTTCACATTATTTTCTTTATTATTCTTGTCTCCTCTTACCCTCCATTTCTAGTCTAGTTGACCTTTTATATTTTTTTACATACAAGTGTTCTTAACAAGTATGTATGTTCAGATTGTTCGAAATGTGTTGCGCTAATATATCACATAGTTCTGATAATCTTGACAATAATCTTAAACTTCAGCTCAAAACGTCAAACCGAATTAAACAAGCAATTTTCACCAAACTTTGATGAAAAACACTGGGACCTGTATTGAGTCCTGGCGACCAATATTTATTTTTCAGATATATTGAGCTCAGGATAAAACATTATGCAAGGAAGGCAGATCGTTCAACAACGTTGTAAACATGTACTAAGTGGATTTATCGATGCGTGTCAAATCACCATACATCATGACGTAAGACGGTATCACGTGTAAGAGTAATCTGGAGAAATAGAAAATGATCAGGTTAATACAGTAAACAAACTGTTCACTTCTGACCTAGGGGAAAGCATAGCGTTCCTAGTCTAGGTATTCAATACGTCATATGTCATGTGAGATCTAGACAGATGAAGCTCAAAATCTATAAACTGTCAAGATAAAAATTAGAAACCCTTCTACTGATAATGAAATCCTAAAGAAAACGATAGAATTTCTGGAGACACGGAAGTAGATGAATTCACACATGAAGTAGGGAGACTAATTATTAAAAAAATGTGAATACCTACTTGCCAAGTTTTTCCGCGATGCGTTCACAATCTGAACCAGAGAAGAACCAGATGGAGAATATATCCCCTATATTATTGTTGTGCTAAGGACATTTATTATTTACCTTTCGAAGTCTTATATAAAAGAAAAGGACAGTGCAGCTGAAGCTGTAAACTTGCAGTCACTAACTCAATTTGATTCAATGTTGGACTCTTACGATTCAGAATCATGAAAGCGAAAAAAGGAACTTTTGATCTGAAAGAAATATATTGGTAAGTTACACTCGACACTTACCGCTTATATAGGAAAAATATGCCACCTGTTTTCGTTTTAGCCTAAAATTAGAGGGAAAGTTTGGGTACGAAAGAATAAACAATTATTTTCAATGAAACTTTATACGACAAATAACCTGGTACGGCCGAAATTCTCTCACATGGCCATGAGTATACAGCCACTGCCAGGGAAGTTCTACTCACTGCCTCGCCGTGTGATTGTTTACAAAATTGAAAGGATGTAAAGCAAATGTTTGGCGCTTTACCCGGGTTAATGGGTATGGAGCATCCATCTAGGGGAGCTGGAAAACCCTGATTCCAAACTAATTGTCCACATAGGCTCCAGTATCCTGAGGGAACAAGTGGTGTATGAATCAATTGCTGATCACCGGCAACCATGGGACTGTTTCCTTACGTCAGTCCACTGCCTTGTGAATCAGACCTTCAGGTCGAAGACTCGGGACGTGGTCTCCCAAGAAAACCACCTACTCTGGTTTGGGCACTCGGGAAGTACCCCAGCCCTTACATAAATCGAATGATTAATGTGGCGCATATCTATTTGGTGCCTCCTTGTACCAATGTTTGTGTTTAAATATGTAAACAACGACAAACCGTGGTATCACCTACTTCATTATTTTACTGTACACAATCAATGCCTTGAAGACATCTACGATCAAATAATAATAACCAACAAATATTTCAAGACCTCAAAGACCACCTTTCAAGATCAAGAAGTGGAACAGAGAAAACCGATGTGCAATATGCTCGCCTTTTAGTAGACCGACGAATACCCACCTTATTTTTTGAGTGACGTAAGCTCATCAATGTTTCCAAATATTTGATGTGAACATTCTTGCACTGGCACTCAAGGCTTAAGGACATTTTTATCAGTATCTTCAATACATCACTATTTTATGAAAAGTTATATTTCGTCTACCGGACTAATGTACATACGATTGTTGGTTTGATAAACGTCTTACTTTCGTTGAACGAGTACCATAGCTAGCAAATAATCTATAAGAAATTGCTGTCTATGACGGTCACCCTTTCAGGCAAACAGGCATCTCATTGCGGTCGGGTCAATAAAAACTACATGAACCGATTAGATATATTGCCAAAAACTAAGACCGAGTTGTGTAATTGTTACTGGTAAGTTTTTGCCAAATATAATGGGTCTTACTAGTAAAATGTATGCATACACACGGATTTCCGTAAATATCGTGTATGTAAAACTTCAGAACCAACTATTTGACGATTACTTGGGAGTAATGATAGCTATATACACATAGCTATGTATACATAAAAGGCAAAACAGGATTCAGCCTTCATATAGTGGTGTCTTACCATATCAGAAGAATGTCATCAGAATATTATAGGGTAAGTGATTCTTATTCGGGTCCAGTCCAACCACAACACCAACCGCAGTGAAAACGCTACTCATGAACATGAAAACAGCCACAACCAGTAAGACGCTATAAATCAGGCAGGATTTTTAGTATGCAGGGCAGATGTGACTCGAATCTCAGGGAATGAACAGACATTTACGTCTTTACTATCAAGATAATGGGACAGATGAGAAGATTGAAACAAAAGTGTATTAACTTTTGCAACGGGTATCCGAATAAATGTCCATTTTCCAATAGGAAAAGCCTTTAAAAGATTTCAGCGCCAGTTGTTTGAGTTATAGGTTTAGAATTATCATTATAAAGATCAAACAACCATATAAAGCTGAAGGCCATAATGCAGCAAGGTTGGACTGATAGGGGTTGAAAAAATCAAGGACTTACCCATGCATTTTTATCACTCTGGAAAGAATACACATGAGCACTTGGAGACTTGTCCAGGATTTGTGTGCAATACTTGTCGTACGTTTGGATCACAGTGAGGTTAAGTTCGTCCTCTTCCTTCATGTTCTACCGGTTATTTAAATGAGCGCCACCGCCCCTTTGTGTAACAAAAGCATATGTACCATACATTGTACATTTTTTAGAATGGTTTCTTTATTTAAAAGGATATATTAGTGTTCCCTTCACTATAACCAATTTGTAGATTTATTGTTATGACGACATGAAGCGCAAAGTTTCAAAACGTTTAGTTACTATATTGTAAAAAACCTTATAATGGCTGGATTGGTGCGGCAACCTCAACGCTTCACATATGAAGAATGGACATATAGCAACAATTTAAAGTATCGTAGTGCAGAGAAGGAACGTGAAATATCACAGGGACTACAAAATGAGTGTGATAGACTCATTGAGGAAACGGCCAAACGCACCGAAAAAACCCTGAAAGATGTGGAGAAAAAGTTTGGTAGGTCGTTGTTGTATGAAAAGTTACATGTGCCAGATCTAAGAATTGCTAACGTTAAGTACTGGAAGTCAGAAGTCAACAAAAAACTGCAGGATACTTCAGAGGAAACTGAAATATTGGACGAGTACTTTATCCGATTGAAGAAAACACTCGAAGCAACCGAAGAACCTCTTCACTTTGCTCAGCAATGTTTACTCAGTCGGTAAGTTTAGTAAAAGTTTACTATTTCGACTGTTTCCCAGTGAGGGAAGAACAGGTATTGATCTCGTCCACGACGATGCACAAATGGAGCTCATAAAAGAGATAGAAGTAATAAAAGAAGCTCAAGCAATCCTACAGAAAACTGTTGAGCAAACCAAAGAACAACTGAGGCAAGTTTCGGATTATATATCATTCTCATATTTTCTTTCGCACGATTCGAAATTCTAATCCATTTATCAATGAAAGACAGAGCCTACATCTTTTTCAAAAGACCTCTTGATTTTTGGTTGATTCAGTTGTTTATCTGTAGTTTTTAATACCTGGCTAATGAAAACTGACATAGATATGAAGCACACCATGAAGCGTTAATGCTCATGTCCTTTTCTATGGTGGATGGTGTGATACTAGAATTATCTGTAGTGACATTTACGTTCAGTAATTTTGCAACGACATTCTTACCATACTTAATCATAAATATCCCAAGTTTACAAGTATAAGGTGACGGCAGTCTAATGACAATCCAGTTATTTACTTTGTATAGGTTCTTTCTAAAAAATGGTGAGATCCATGGAATTCGTTATTTGTGGTGAGTTCTCTTAGCAGTGTGAAGTTATTTTTCGTCCAACCACTTTCCAAACCTAAACAGAGGTTGGTTTGCTAATCCCCTCCCTAGAATATTTTAGATATTGTTAAATATAGTAAGAGCACTGGCGCTTTTCGACATGTTACAGAACTCTTCATTAATTGTTTGTCCATCATCTAGCTTATGCTGGTTGTCAGGAGACTTAAGGCTTGAAATGGCCTGTACCTTTAAATGTCTCTGGTGTAAAGCAACATTTTTACTCTTAAGTTAGCCCAATATACTGTCTAACAAAAAACGTTTACAGACTTTAAACACAAATCATGTAATAATAGAAGTCGAACATGGTTTACTTCCATTAATTACTAATAAAAAAAACAACCTGTTTCCTTATCGTTATTCAAAATAAACTCAATCATATCCACTTCCGTTCAAACTTTCTACATTTAGAGTAACCTAAAATTTATGACTGTCACTGTCGGTATAACAGCGAAATGTTTTGAGATTAGTTTTATGACTGAACTACTACAACGAAAGCCGAAAAAATGCACTAAACGTTTATTAGTCCATGAGTTCACGCCTTCATAGTTTAGCTACTTTCTCTAAATACATAGTTACATAGTTTACCACTGTATGCAGTCTTAATTTGTTAACTATCGGGCTTCCAAAATAAGACAATCTAAACAGTTCAACTTAATTCCCTTTGAGTCATAATTGTTTATATTGCACTTAACAGATGGAATAAATGTAGCGACCAAAATAATCTTTTAACTATTTACAGCCGAATGTATGGGTGCATTCCCTCAAATTATTGAGAAACTGCAGGTGTAGTGAATAGTTAAAAGTATCTTGGAACGGCCTTATATTAACGACTAAGTTATGTCCCACCTCTTGAGGTAGTCGGCTCGTATTTACATTTTTGACATTGAATTACATACACTAGAGATAAAGTTGTTACCAGTCGTGGTAAGTTAGTGTACAGTAAGTGAGTCATGTAGCAATTAATTGATCGAATTTGACTGGTATCTGTCGTTAAAATTGCAAATTAATCTGCTATTCAAAATACTTAATTAGTCATAGTTTGAATGCTTTGGGGTGAAAATTGCTACCAGTCTACTAATTACCAATAAAATCAACTTCCAGTTCCAAGTTTGTTCAAATTGCCAAATTTTTCACCAACGTAAAAAAGAAGGCATAATACTTGGTAAACATGGCACTCACATAGTGGCTAAGTATTTTGTTTTTAACGATTATAAGTAGAGTTATCATGAATACAAAATAGTATGCAAATAACCTAGTTCACATTCCTGTTTCGCATCTATAAGGTTTCTGAGGAACTCATCCATCTTACTTCCAAACACTTATATCTCTTAAACTGACGCTCTAAGCTACATGAGTTCACTTTAATTGGATGTTTTTTTCCTACTGAAACAAAAGATCACCTAGTTTTATTCACAATACAACACCAATGGTTTTTCTCAAATTATATATCTAATAAAAACCATGTCATATATGTTAGACATTGGTAAACCTTACGGCTCAACTTACTTTTTAATAGTTAGGAGTTATAAACCTAAACTCTAATTCTCTTAAATTAGTTGTGAAGTATCACTAAAACTTGCATAAAAATGTGACTTCAAACAGATTATAAAAACCTACATTTCGTTATTGCCCTGCACATAAGTTTTTAATTTATACAAGATGTAAGCAGTTACAGATTATTCAGTTAAAAGTATGGTGGATATTGCAGTAAGTAATGTTTGCGACTGGATTAAATCTAAAAGGAAAACTTGTTAATCGCTTTTGAACATAATTCCGCAAAAGCTTTGCACCATGATTCACCGTGATCAATATCCTGTGTAGCTTTCCAGACTAGCAGTGCCCATTATCACAAGAGTATGTTAAGCTGGGGAATCACACCATCTTTTGTTCAAATAAGACTGCAAAGTGTTGGATAATGCTAGTTTTGATGACGTACTCGTTTAATTCAGTAACATAAGTAGATACTAACCAAATCACCATAGTTTCATTTCATAATTTGTCATTAGTTTAATAACTTTAAATTTTGGAAATGCACAGTCTAATTCAAATAGTACTTAGTTGTAATAACCGTTGAAAATTTTGGAACCAAAATGAAATCACTTCTCATAATTCAACTGTTATTTTGGGAAAACATTTAATGATGGGATCAGATTAAATGATTTCAAACTACTCTATACAGTCATTTTTTGTCACAACAATAACTTAAGTAAATATGAAGTAAACTCTTTATAACCATCACTTACGTTATGGTAAATGAGCAAACTATAGTTGTATGTTTGTTTTTTCACATTATGGTAATGATATTATTTCTAAATGATCAAATAAAATTATTTATTAGTAATCATTATCATATGATATATAAACCTACAACTATCTATGCTTCTAAAAGTCCTTAATATTCGATTAATAAATCTTTTCTCTTGATGTATCTTTTTGATCATATGCATTATGATAACGAAAAACTTATTTCTCGACCTTGTATTCTATATTCATTTAACAATATGTATACTATTAGCACAGTAAATCATATGAATATGATGAGGGGTTATTAGATTAGTTGTGCTTTTTCATTTGGTTAACGAATTTATTTATTAACTTTGGTTTATATGTTTGTGACTTTATTACAGACATTATAAAATGAATATGCGATATAATTTTTGCATTAAAATATATCCATAAATGAACGTTGTAATGAAATAGATATGCCATAGAAGTTCCCAGATCTGTACAAAACGTGTTATAGTAGCTACGAATTTACCATCACCTGAAGATAAAATAACGCTTGTATTGTATTAGAATTACGGGTAATATGCACAATCATGTTCACAGCATTTATCATTTGATGCTTATACCATGTGAAATTAGCAACAAGGTTAATAACAATGTGAATAAGCTACTTTTAACTATAATAAATATTACAGATTGTGTTTAATTACGTGTACCAAAACTTGTATACTATTTGAATTGGTCAACATGACAATAAGCATTCACGATATATGGATTGACTACGTCCATATCTTATGATTGTTTGAGTCATTTCAATGCCTAAGTGACTTTTCGTAATGGCTATGAATTTATGATATTGTTTTCTAGCAATAATATGTTTCGTAAATACTATTAATAATCCATATATAAATTTGTTGTTTAATGGTGTTAATACTTGACTTGTAGTCTTTGAGTCTCAAGTTCCAATCGAATTTGTCTGTGCTACTTGAGTAGGTTATAGGACAGTGATGAACTTTACGAACATTAAAATAAAATGATTTAACAGTTCATATCACTTAGGTCCAAAAACAGGTTTCCAATGAATCAAATCATACAACATGAGATCATCAGGATTCTGACGGCTTTATGCTTTAACATTCTGCTGCGCTCCCCCAAACAAATATTTTCATCTATATTAACTGTTTCTGCTTGAAAATTCACCAAATATTTCACAATTTCGTTATTTGTGCATTATTTTAATGTAAAATTGATCTAAATAAGACAACACTTCACTAATATGTCTAATATTTACTATTCATTACTTTTATGCGTCTGAAATGTAACAAAGTATTATGTTTAAAAATGTTTCAAGATACAAGAGAATAATGATAGGTTTCTGTTTGTTCAGCTGTTGCAATAAAATCAAATTTTCATTCTAATAGTTTTTGCTAATCTAAATACATTGGTATTTTCTGATTACTATGAACAAATAATTTTTATTGAATCATGTTTGTAAAGATTCGTTAAATAGGAAAATAATTTTCAACACAAGTCTGCGTAAGCTGAAAAATTAATAAATATGAAGGATTACTTGATATTGTTTCGAACTA